GACTCATCAGGAGGCTGAACCCTCAACAGTCTGCAGAATCCCCTCACTGATTACACTGTAAATGATAATCTACCTTAACCAAAATCAAAGTATATGCACATACATATACACACATGTTAATGGCCTTGAGGACAGAGGAAGACGAAGAGGAGGAAGACGAGGAAAATGAGTAAGAGGAGGAAGAGGAGAGCTAGAGAATCAGATTCTCTATCCAAAAGCAGATTCGACTTATAATTTTTTTAACAAAAAGAAGTAAGAAAAGAAAAGCAGAAAAAGAAAAGCAGATTCAACTTAGATAGACTAGGAGGAGGAGAAGTAGAAGAGAGAGGAGGACAGAAGAGAGCAAGAAAAGCAGAAGACGAGGAGGAAAGGAGAAGAGGAGAAGAGGAAGAGAGGAAGATAGGAGAGGAGAGGAGAAGAGAAGAGAGGAGGCGGAGGGAAACGAGACGAAGAGGAGGGGAGCAGGGAAGCTGGGACTGTCGAAAACAGAAAAAAAAAAAGAAAAAAAAAAAAGAAGGAAAAAAAAAAGAGGTTGTCGACAACAATGGTAACCGTCTGTGGATGTGACCAAAGCTGCTGCTGGCTGACGCTTCTTAGAAATCGCATTGAGATCCGATTGATGTACAACACTCAGCAGAACAGCCAGGTGCATTTTCCCCTACGCACTTGGACCAGGTGCACGCACTTGGATCAGGATCAGGTCTCATCAAGGGGCAATCCACAGGCCTTGCCTCTCCTCGAAACAGAAAATCAGAACTGGAGATTACAGTCAGACAACGATTTTAGAGGCAAGGACGAGGGGGGAAGACGCCAGGAAGACGAGGAGGAGGAGGAGGAGGAGGAGAAGGAGCAACAGGTAGAGAGGACACCAGGAGGAAAGTCAGAAGAGTTTAGGAAAGCAACGAAGTTACTCTCTCTCAAAGAGCAGAACAGAATTAGCTACCCACTAAGGAGGAGGAAGAGGAGGAGGAGGAGGAAGAGGAGGAGGGGGAGGAGGAGGCGGAGGAGGGAGAAAGGAGGACGAATCCCGGATTCCCTAAGGAAGAGCGAATGCCAGTAGAACGACGGATGATGCGAATGAAGGGGTCGAGGAGGAAGAGGAGGAGGAGGGGTTGTTCCGGTGGGGCGGGTGCCGGAGGAAGAGGAGGAGGAGGGGCGGTTCGGGGTAGAGGGGAGGAGGAGGAGGAGGAGGAGGAGGTGGGAGAAGAAGAACAACAACAACAACAACCACAACAACAACAACAAGAGAAGAAGGAAACGAGGAAGAAAGTCGGATTGTCTGACTGAGAAAAGGGCAGAATAAAGTGGACTAAAAGGAACAGCAGGAGGAAGAGGAGGAAGCACATAGGAAGGAACAGAGAGTGAGGCGTACTTATGAAAAAGGACAGGACATACTGTAATGCGAGAATTAAAGAATAGGAGAACGTTGCGCACACAGAGGAGGACGACGGTGACTTGACAAGGAGAAGTACGGGGGACAGGCAATTGAAAGGAAGATCAAGGATCATCTACGAGATATAGAAAGAGCAGCGAGAGGCAACAATAGACCTGTTTCAACAAAAAAAAAAAAAAAAAAAAAAAAAAAAAAAAAAAATTGTCGGCAATGGTGCGCATACACTCTAGTAACTGTCAATACACAGGTCATGGGTTCGAGCCCCGGACGAATCAGACGCATATAACAAGGTTAATTTCCTTATAACAATGTGAATTTCCTTGTCTGCATGTCATTTTGACGAGGGGTAGAGGGATGCACATGCATGGCCTGCAAGCATGCAATAGTAATGGCTCTCGGCATCGTGTAGTGGCTCAGTGGCTCAGTGGGAGAATGGCGTACACTGGTAAAGACTATAGACTGGTGGTCATAAGATCGAGACCCGACGGAATCAGAGAGATATAGGAAAATGTATAACGTCTTCCCCCGAGCATAACGGACGCTAAAAATTAATGTATACAAGCTATATTTACGGCGAGATACAGCCAAAAGAAGGGTGCGTTGTGTTCGGGGGAAGACGGTAGAAGTCTGGGAACGAAAGAATGGCCGAAAGAACCATAACAACAACATAAAAAAGAATTCCGTAAAATATTAAGTTAAGTAAATAATGCCATAAAACGGCAAGCAAGCAAGCTACGAGGCTGCTGAGAGGCTACTCTAGGACTATCTTAAATGTATATCGCCGCCTTTAAGGCCAGACCTGGATGAATCTGACCCCAAATTACGTCAAGAAATAAGTGAAATAACTCCGAATTGTAAGTATGCCCTGAGGAAGAGGCGGGGGCGGCGGCGAGCTAAGAACGAGGAAAGCGTGCACGGGTGCAGAAGTAGCAGGTTTACACTTTAGCGCCACCAACATTCCCCGAACACAACGCACCCTCATCTTGAATGAATACAAGCTAGCTTTTCAGTCTGATGGTGCGTTGTATTCGGGGGAAGACGACAGCAGGAAACAAAGTGAGCCACGAGCAGAGGAGGTGGAAAAGAAGAGGAAGAGAAGAAGAGAAGAGGAGAAGAAGAGAAGAGGAGGAGCCATGAGAGCTGAACGGACATGCTCGAGGTAATGGTGGCCGATCACTTCGCCGCCTGGGGGGACACACAGAACAAAACCCCCTTTTCCTCTTCTTTTTTCTTTTCAATAATAACCGCTCGATTAAAATGATCAGCGGTGCTCCGTCAACATACCTCGGCGCCCTCGGGGCCCCTTCGACCTCCACCTCGCCCTCGCCCTCGCCCTCGCCATCCGAATCCCCGAAAAGATCCTCCATTTCCCTCTCACTTCACTTCCCGCCAATCCCAGTTCCCAGCTAGACTCCTCGCCAATCCAACAAGTCTTAATTCCCGCTCATCCAATTCTAGTTCCCGCCAATCCTAAGTTTAGTTCCCGCCAATGCATATGTCGTTTTCATCTCCCTCCGTCTACGATCCGTCCACGATCCCTCCACGATCCGTCTACGATCCGCCCCTGATCGGGGGCAAGGTCCCACTTGCACGGATTAAGAGATTCTGGCCGTTGATCTTTGCTATCTACGGTCAATATCGCATAATTCACGTAAGTGGGACCTAGCCCCCCGGAGCTAGGTCCCACTTGCACGAATTAAGAGATAGTGACCGTAGATAGCAAAGATCAACGGCCGAAATCTCCTAATTTGCGCAAGTGGGACCTTGCCCCGGATGGAACTACCTCGTGCCTCCCCTGCCGCCCTACCGGTAGCCACGAGCAAAGCAGTGACTGGTTATGTACGGACAGGTCGCGCGCTCGAACCCACTGGTCGTCGACGACAAGTGGCAAGGTCCTACTTGATCTTCGCTATCGACGGTCAATGTCACTTAATTTTCGTGCAAGTGGGACCTAGCCCAAGGATGACGACTCGAAGACAGTTACCGGACTGGACCACCTCAGATTCAATTACCACGTGGTTTGGAACAAAACTGGAATGAATGGGGATGGATGGCGTTGTTTCGGCAGAGAGGAAAAGAGAAAAGAAAAATTGTTGGAATGCCCCTAAGAGCTAAGTTAGTTCGTCAGATACCCCAAAAACAAGGGGTCGCGCGAGATGACCCTTTTTTCTTTTCTTTTCTTTTCTTTTTCTTTGGAGCGCGAACTACGCATTCGGCCCTGTTCCAACCATGGGTAACTTAGGTCTGGAGCCCACAGGCGTGCTGCGGAAGAGTTTTTTTTTTTTTTTCTTTTTTTTTTTTGTGCAGATCTGCTAGGGGAGGTGAATGTGGGGTCCAGACCTAAGTTACCCATGGTTGGAACAGGGCCGAATGCGTAGTTTAGGGTCATCTCGCGCGACCCCTTTGTTTTTGGGGTATCTGACGAACTAACTTAGGCAAGGACCCCACAGCGATGCGGACTGGAAAAACTTTGCAGCGGAACGGTACTGGTACCCCACAACCTTCCGCAAAGTCCTTGGAAGGCCGTTTTCCTTTTCCGAAAAAGCAGTTCTGGAACCCCACAACCTGAAATTGTCGGCTTGGAAAGCCGGGATTTCCTGTTTTCACATGGTTTCCGACCTGGAAAACCACCGCTGGAGAAGTTGTCGCTGCTTTTTTGTGCAAGGTAGGGATGGCATGTGCTTGGGACACCTTCAAGGTTTCCAAGGTCGCGGACGCAGCCCAAACGTCCCTGTGTCTGTCTGTCGTTGTGACGTGTTCCTGGAGCATGGTCTCGCAGGCATCCTTGTCGCCCAGGGCAGGGCCTTTGTAAAGGGTACCAGTCCCAAGCGCGGAGGGCCAGAAAGAATCGGGCTTTTCGGCCGTTTTCGAATTTTTGAATTTTCGAATTCGAATCCTTGGGCTCCCCATCGTCTCGTTCGCATGGACATGCAGCCGACGTAGGCTAGCGATAGTGGAATCTTTTCATGTCGACGGCTACAGTACAGACGATTCGTTAAGGCGCGTGTGTGGTGACCGACAATATCCAAAGCTGTTCCAAACGCCTTTCCATGCAGAGAGCGGGACACCTCCATCGCCGGGGTGCTCCTTGGACCTTGCTTGCTGACTGTGTACATGGTTTGGCTCATCGATTGCTGCACGTGGGGAGGCTGTCGGAGGGCAGCTTCGTTACCTCTACTGCCCTCCATGTGCCAAGCACAGCAGACTGACGTCAGAACAATCTCCGCCAAGTGTGGTCTACCCATGCTCCTGCAACTGAAGTCATGTCCATGCTACGTGCTGCCCGCTCGCCCGCCGTATCGGATTTTTGGAGAAGCTCGGCACAACCGAATGTCGACATTGCACCTGTCGTGCCTCGACTTTGTCCACGAGTGACTATCCGAGGCGGTAAAGTGCGAGAGTGGGAGGGAGGAGAAGTGCGAAGGGACGAAGGGCAACCTTGCGTGAAGGTCGCGCCACTGCCCTATCCATTTGAGCATCCTGGACATTGTGCATGTCACACGTGTTTGCATGGAGTGAATCGTGAAGCGGGCGCAACGACGGTCATCATTGTCGGTGGGGACCATCGCACCCCGTGCAGGGGCATCGCTGGATTGCTCGTTTGGGCATTCGTAGTGTGGCTGGGTCATGTGCTCGCTTTATTGGCGGTGGATGTTGTGTGTCTAGTTGTAGTTATTACCGCCATCCTATCAAGACGTGCCTAACCTCCACTGTGGTTTGTGCTTTGAAGATCCCGGTGTGCAGTGACCGGGATGGAGGGCCACAATTTTATTTCAGAGTTGTACATCAATTTGGGAGGGTCGGCGAACATGGACATCGTCGACGACGTGGACACACAAGATAACGGGCCAGTTTCTCGGCACCGATGTGGCAATATGTACCAGACCTTCCATTAAACACTGAGAATCAATTGCAGTTCAGTGCACATCCCACGCACGCCCGAGCCTCTTTCGCCATGCCAACGTAGGACTCATCATCGGCCACCGGGTGGGGGACATATCCGCCGCAATTGCATCAACAGGTTGGGCAGCAGGGCAGTGTCCACAATCATTTCCTGTGCAGCGAGTGTCTTCAAAAAGCAAGGTGAGTGTATGGGGTCATAATCCTGAGTCTTCAGTGCAACCATCGCTACATCAGGTGCACTGTTTGTTGCCTCTCTCGCCACCGATCAGCAACCACAGCATACCAGGGGGGGGCGAGAACATTCCTGGTAGGTCGCCCCCCGTCAATCGGTCCGACCGACAACAGAGTGTGGTCCGGGCAATGGGCATTCGACACATCGCAAGAGGTGCAAGTGGTCCGACAGTGGGAGTAGGGGATCACCAACACACAAGTGTGAGCCGGGGAGGCGAGACATTGAGGTCGGTTGATTGTCGATCGAAGGACGGTGAAAGACTGTCTGTTTCCTTTCCTTCTACCAGCGGGGATAAACCATTGGCAAAGGCAAGCCCGTGCAACTTCACAAACAATGGCGAGGCAAGACACATCTGTCTGTAATCAGGAATGCAGCGGGGAGGGGCCCGTTGTTGCGGCAGGGACTGCGGGTACACTCGCTCAGCTGGTGTCCTGTTGCTCCCTCCAACGTGTGTCATCGACCATGGCAGCTGCGGATAACCGACATCACCTAGGAGATAACTGCCCGCCCTCCGTCCATCACAAAGGACTTCACTCCCCGTTGCATACACCCATGTGCCTCATTATGCCTGTCGATAAACAGCGGAGACTCGGAGGACATGACTGTCGTGGACGGATCCGGGACTGCCCACAAACGCACTCACAATACGGCACTCGTGGTCGCACACCACTTGCGCAACGACGAAAAATTGACCTGTCCGATCGTAATAGTAGCACTCTCCCCTCTCGTTCCTTGGCTTTTCGATGTACACGTGGGTGCAATTAATTACCCCGACACAACCGGGGAATCCTTTGCGTTCGAAAGCATCAAGTGTTTCTTAAAGCTTTCGATCAGTTGGGAATTGAAGTAGATGGGCATACTCCTTGATAAAGGCATCAACGACATCCTTGTTGCTGCGCAGGGCACTCGCAAGTCTCAGGCCCAGGGAATGTGTCAATTGCCTGTTGAACACTCCAGTTGCCCAACGAATACAACAACGATGGTGTGCACCGGATGTGAGGAGGTGGAAGGCGGCGAGAAAGGCGTGCGATAGGCCAACAGTCAAAACCCGATCCGAAATCCTCAGGCCGTCGGTGTTGATAGGCCAACGGTCAGAACACATATCCATACAGTCCTAATAGGGGCCTGATGTCTCTTCCCAAGCTAGCTTCGCAGTTCTGCTGCTCGCTTGTCGCACGGATGGGACAAACCGTCGCTTAATGCCACTCACTGCGTCGCCGCAGTTCGTGGTGTGGTCCTTCGAAAACCACACGGACACTGGCTGGCTTTTTTCGGGTGTACCATACTCTGGCTTTCCTAAAACGGAAAATGTGCGCCGACTTTGCCGCAAAACGCACTCCGCGATGGGATTCCGGAAAATTCTTTTCCAAGCTTTCCAAAATCGTTGGCCCGGTTTCCATGGGCAAACCACTTTTCCATCCACAAAGATGTGGGGTCCTTGCCTTAGCTCTTAGGGGCACGGAGGTTTTTTTTCGACCCCACAGCCTGTTGGGCGTGGGCTGGAAAACCTTCCACTGACGTTTCCACTTGGTGTAATGGTGACGCCGTGGATTTCCGCAAAAAAATGCCAAAAGTATATGGTAGGTGGATGTGGAATGACAGGGGAAGGCCCGACACATTAGACTTTGACTGCGGGCCCGGACATATGGCCACCATCGTGCAAATGTTTATGGGACTATGCCACGCTATCCATTCGTGGTGTCGGTGTCCCTACCAATGCCGCCTTTTTTTAATTCCTTCAGCGATTCAATTTATTTGTGTCCGGGTAACGTGCAATATTGTCTCCCATTACCCCCATACAACTCGTTCCGCCACACCTCCATAGACATTGCTGCCTTCGGTCCGCCATCGCCTTCCTTATCGTCGTGCCCGTGAGGGAGGTCACTGCAGAAGAACGCTCTGTGCCTTCATTTTGATTGTGATGCTTCCGTGGTTGAACCCCGTGCGCCTGACAGTTTGCGGCTGCTTCGTTTTCTGGTTGGTTGATAGCTGGGACAACGAAGTTTGCACACTCCGCATCAAGGTCATTCGGCTGGTCGAATACGACGAGTAGAGGGAGACAGTGGTGTTTGGCACCACCATCACATGTTGTGGGTGCAAGGGTTTTCCAGAGTAGGAGAGTCTCAACAGTGATGAGCTTGATGCGGCAACCATTGCTTAGCGAACGTCTTGCCTTACCTTGGACCGTTTGGGAGGTGGAAGAAGGTCACAACACAGCTTCGTCGTCATGTCTGCGACCAGTCGGTCGCCCCGTATGAGCATGCGCGGCACGAACGTGAAGATCCTGCGTTTTATCTGAGGGATTG